TAGCTTTATTGGTTTTATTATTGGGACATCTGACATAATAAAATCATATTAAAGTTTTTTAGAAGATATGTTATATTTATTATTTTATATGAATAGAAATTATTCAGATTATATTGATATAATAGATGAAGTAGAGAATGTAGAACATGTTGTTATAACTGATAATAAAACCAAAAATGCTGTTATTATTCATTAGAACTAATTATGTTTGTGATACAATATATTAAAAGTATATGTATTAATATAGATGGGAGGAAAGAAAAACAAAAAACTGAACCAGTTGTTTCTTCAGATGAAGAAAAAGAAGAAATTGTTAAAGAAACATCAGTTATTGAGTTTGCTTGTCCAATGTGTAAAAAGATGTTAGAAATGAAGAATGAATTAGAAATACAAAAGAAAGGAAATTGTAAATGCTCGTCTATTCCAACAAGTTTCAAAATAAGTAAAAATGATCAGAAAATGAATATTGATAAAACTAAAGACAGTATCAACTTAGAAACAGATGTTCATAATATTGCTATCAAATGGGGAAGGCATGCATCACCATCCGATAATGGTGATAAGGAAACACAGGAAACTATACGTGAAAGGATGAAAAATTAGTATTTAAAGAGTAGAGTTAACATAATTACAACATTTAGTTTTAAAAGTTTAGTTTTATAATATAGTATATATATATATGGAGGAACATTTAGAGAACATTGACAGTAGTTTGGAGTTGTTGTTTCCAAGATTAGAAAAAGTGTTGGAGCAAAATGAAAACATACTGAAAATATTAAAGAGCATGAATATTAAACCTACATATAATAACAATAACAATTATCAAGCAAAAGAAGTAGATAGAGACAGTAGCGAATACAAAAACAAACGAACATTTATGTTAAAAAACTGAATGAAAAAGTCATAAAATACCCTAAACAATCAAGTCTGGATGACGATCAAGTCAAGTATAAAGAAGACACCAAGAAATACGTTTAATCATTAACTAACAAAATTTCGTGTCTGAAAAGCGGTTTGTTTATTCCTGCTACTTTGTAAGTTTTATTACTCATAATATCATATTCAATTTTATCAACATTGAATATTTTATTAGACCATTTAGAGTTATACTCCTTTCTGTCGGTGTAATTACCCCTCTTCTTTTGGAACACTTTTACCTTGTCGTTCTCCTCTATTCTGGGATACTTTCTTTTGTTCTTTTCTTGCAGTTTCAGATTTACCTTTACATTTATTTCATTGTCGTCCTTGTGTGCTTCGGACGGTGTCATCCTTGTTGATGAGTGTGATGTGCTGTTATACTGTTTCAATGTAGGCGTCAGGGCGTCGGTCCATTTCATGTTGTTAAACCTAACTCTATCGTGAATTTTGTTTTTCATCGTCCTAATAAAACGCTCGGCTACATTTGCGTGGGTCTTCGTGACGATGTGGTTTATTCCTTCACTGTTGAAGAAATCCTGAACTTGATTTTTAGTTGCAAACGCGCCATCGTCATCAGAATACACGGACATCGGATAACCCATCTTTTTAAAACTTGCTCTCAACACCTTCAAAACGTGCTCTCCGTCTCTTTCCTCCATCGGTATTACATCTGCTAATTTACTGAAGATGTCAATCACGACTAAAGCATACTGTGGAACGTTCTTGTCTTTTGCTAAAGGTGACATATGCATTATGTCTATTTGATATTCAAATCGTGCGAATGGAGCGGTATAGGAATTAGTACCTCTATAATTGTTGGTTTGTTTATGTGGTTGTTTCTTTAAGAAAGACTTTACATCGTCTAATGTTATTGTTGGGTCTTCTTCCTTTGCCTTCTTGTGTGTCGCTTGTGTGCTTCCGAAACCCTCGTCTAAGTCGTAATAGATGTTGCTGATTACTTGGTCTTTCGTTTATCTCGCCATTATATTAAATTGTTAGAAAATAATTTTATCAACATAAACCCCCACCCCTTAACATAAAATGAAAACTACTTAAAGAAAAATGGATATATATATATATATAGTAAGAGAAAAAATGTCACTATTTAATTATGATAATTGTCCTTGTAAAAATAAAATATGTAAGTCTGTCGTAGCACTAGCTAATATTTTACCTGTTGATGTTTGTAATCTTATAGGTGGTTAAATTAGAGTAACATGGTTTAATTGTAGTGATTTGTTGGATGCGGAAGAACATTTTGTGAGAGATTCAAACATTCCTGAAGAAGGACCGGAAAAAGCAGAACTTCAATTAAAAGTTATTAAACTAATGCAAAGTAATAATTTTTATTACACTACTAGCAGAAAACCAATATAGTATAAACAATACAACATTACAGAAAACACATTGACCGAGTATTTGATATACAAGAAGTTAAAGAACGGTTTAAAAAGAGAAAAATGTATTATCAAGCATTAAAATCATACTGTAAGAATAATGAGAATGAAGTTAGTACCGTTTTAAGAAAATGCCTTAACATTGAAGATTTAAGCAATTTAAACGTAATGGGTCGAACTTTCCAAACCTAAACAGTTGGTGGTCATACAGAAATCGTGATTTTTATATGAGAAATATACTGTGTGATTTAATTGAGATTTACACAGACTTATTAATAAAATGATATGAAGATTATTGTTGTAATTACAGTATGAGTTGTTATATTGGTTGTGTCGTTGGTGTTGTTTATTAATATTATTATCTTATAATATGATTAAACATTGTTTTATAGTCTAACAAGAAGGTTAAGATTATTAAATTAAGCATGAAACCCAGCCCAGCCGACCAGCAACCCCCTAGCCAAAACTACTTAAAAGAAAAAACCTTATATATGAAGAGAAAAATGAGTGAGGGTAAAATGTCAGAGAATAGTTTTATGGTAGAGAATTGTGCTAGCTTACCTGTGGAAACATTGTTAAACATCGCTGCTTATATGATAGGCAATGAAGGGTGGCAAAGACTAAAACAGTGTAAAGCATTAAGGGTCTTACAAAGGAAATGGAAACCGTCTATTTTTGAACGAGAAGGAGAAAGTAGATATTATGTGTTGATTAGCAATATATGTTTGAAAGGTGATAAAGCACTTTCATATGCGTTGAAACCACCAAACGAATTATTAAGAATGATGAAGTATGATGAAGAAATAAAGGTTGGAATAGAAGTTAGTTCGAAAATTATATATAAGAATAATATTTGCAACTGTAGTTCTTATGCATCAAGCAAACAGAACAAGATAACAAGTAGAGCGTCATTACAACTATATTGAAAAATAGTTGAAGAAATAAAACAGACTATGAACCGATACGAAATCATTACTATAGAACATATTACATTTGAAATTTATACATAACAGAAACAATGATTTCATGGTTTAATCATAATATTTAGTTGTAATATGATTAAACATGGTTTTATAATCTAACAAGAAGGTTAAGACATTTAAATTAAACCTGAAACCCAGACCAGCCGACCAGCAACCCCTAGCCAAAACTACTTAAAGAAATATCACCTTATATATTAAGAGGAAAATGAACGGTGATGAAATCAATAATTATATCAATAAAAATGCTGTGATTGTTGTCACTTCAAAAGGAAAATATGGAATTGTATAAGCTGAATTTACCTAATGAAATAGTGAATAATATTATTAAAAATTCAATGGATGGAGAAGACGTATGTAAACATTGTAAAAATTGGAGAGATAGTCAATTTTTAATCAAATGTGTGTCCGGAATAAACAGAATACATAACAGAAATGTAGAAGATGAGATTTTAACATTCCTAACTGTAAATCAAATACCACCTTACGATTATGTTAGACAGTTTCTTAAAATCAGTAAGAAAATATGAAATGATTGATGAACATGATTGATGATATATTATGGATGTTGGGCTATAGTCAAAAGAAAGGAGAATATGTTAAAGAAAATGTCAAATTATTTATTGAAAGTAAAAAGTTTAATGTTCAAAATACAGTGAGATATATTAATATTATTTTTAAAATGATGCATGAAAGAAGTAAGAAGAATCAATTAAATTATTATCCTGAACTGAAATTATAATCATAATATAATAGTAACATGTAAACTCTTATATGTTATACTTATACTGAACTTTTAACGTATAAATGAAAATTAGTGAGAAAACACTAACAAAACAACTACACCACCAACACCCCAGAACTTGATAACTACTAAAAGGGCTAACTCTTTCAAATGAAAAACATGTCGGCCCCCAGCCCAACAATGAACAAGGTGAGAATCTACCCAAATGATTACCTTAACGAAAACGATATATAAGCTCCCCAAAACACCCCTTTTCAAAACGAATAAGGGGGAACACAGATTTGAGATTAACATAAAAACCAGAACAGGCAACCATCAACAGGTCACCCCCCCCCGGGCCCCCCCTTTTTACAATTTCCCGCCCCCCCCCCCCCCGTCCGGACGGGTCTTCATTTTTGTTTGTGGCCAAGCAAGGCCCACAGGTGGATTTTGACTCCCCAAACATGATACGGATGCAAGAGCTTGCTAGATGTTTCAATCTAAAGCTATTCGCTGCAACAGTTTCGACAACCCCAGAGTATGACTTGTGTTCAATTGAATTGAAATACAGTCTTCCAAAAGGCGAAAAGGCTTAGCTTTGGGGTCCGGGGAGCATCCCTGTTTAAGGCAGGTGAAACCTTTCCGACCCGAGGGGGAAGGACGCTCTGGCTTTCTATGCGCGAATTCCCTGGGCCTTGGTCACAAAATCCACTACGTGGGCTCGCTTGGCGGCCCAATTGCACGCACTCCGCATGGCTGAGAAGAAAACACAAACTCCGTTTTGGGCCCGGTGCATCTTCTCCGTGCCCAATTCTTCCGTTGAACAAAATTAAAGGCACCCTAGGTCCTCTCGTGTGTGCAGAACCGCTTCACGCGGCTGATCATTTTCCACAGCCACAAATCAGCGAAAGTCGGTCAAGAGGTACAGCCAGGCTTCATACTTGCAAGCGCATGCCGGACCAGAGGGCGCTCGGCTGCGTCAGGCCGAGCGAAAGCTGCGAAGGAAGTGGCGGCGGCACGAGAACCGCCTCATCCGCAGGACGTGGGGCATGTCTTGAAAAAAACAAAAAACTTACTTTGCCTTGCGAATCGACCTCATAACCCCCTGGTGTGCCGGAAATTGCCGGCGGCCGCAAAGTTGCGACGGTTTTATGTCCAGGTTTGGGCAAGCGAGAGTAAGCAACCGGGAGGGCGGCCTCCCTCCGCCGAGGAGACCTTGGAACGATGACACCGCTGCTGTCTGGAACCCCCTTCCAGATGAAGTGGTTCTTCTGGACCGGAGAGGGGTCGAGCATCAGACTTAGGGGACGTTGCTTCGTTGCTTTGACAAAGTGTCTTTTTGCCAGCTGGGAACTTGTCTAAGGGCTCAACCAGGTGACTCTGGATACCCTGGCATCTTTTCGCTAAATATTTAAAGTTATGCCCCTTGATGTACCCAGCATGTATTTGGTCAACTCTGTGGTGCATCACGCCCTGTTCACTGGACAGTGGCCCACGAGGCTCTTGGATCTTGGACGCGTTGATGGCCGCACAAAAGCCAGCGATAGAACTTGAGAGCTTGCGTTGGGCCCTAGGGCCTTTGGCATGGGTTGCTACTCTGGGAACTGGGCGGACCTAGACAATGGACACCCACGAAACCCCAAAGTGTCCCATTTGGGCGGAGTAAGGGGTCAGACCCCTCGTTCGTTTTTACACCCGGTTGGAGTGAGAGACAAAGGGCCACGAGCAGAACACCAACAAAGCAAGTTTGCTTCATGTGACCTTGGCACGGCTGGTCCAGCACGACAGGTCCAGCACTTAGTGCTTGCTGAGCATTTTCATGAGTTGGTCTTACTGTTAGTTGCCATTCGCAACACACAGGAACGATCACAAAGAGCAATGCCACTTGTGCCATTGGTGGCACAGCACGTCTCGCGAAAGCATGAATGCCGGGTAAACTTCTTGAAAAGCAATCCGCAGCATACCGATCACACGCTCCAAGGCCCGTGATTGTTGAACTCCCATGTGCCTTGTGGCAGGTTCCGTGCTACACCTTGTGCAAACTATCATGTTGTGCTTTTTGGAAGATACCAGTCAATAGCCCCGCCTTGCCGAAGTCTGTCAGATAACAACTTGGAACCCACCCGTGCCGAAAACGAAGCCAAGCAAACCGATAGCTTGAAAACACACCTGCCCCGGAACACAAGCTCAGCAGCCCACTCACTTCAAGATACGGATGGTTGCCCTTTTCCGCTGGGCGGTTACGTAAAGGATGTTTGGACCAACCTCCGCAGTCTGCGGTTCACGGCAGATCAGATGGTTGCGGCGCGTTGAACGCAGGACATCCCCGAGAAGGAGCAGATGCGAGTGGCTCAGAGGCGGAAATGAGAGAGCAAGAGCCATTCGCCTAGCAGGTCTCTTATCCAATGAGTTCTTCAAATTGTCGGTTGTGAGAAACAAAGAGCTGCACTGTCATTGCAGTCGGACGCGTCCAGTATCTTATTGACCACCGTGGATAAGGTAGCAAGCAAGCAATCAGTGATGATTGGACTCCCTTGCCCAAGCCTCGAAAGGGCTCTTACCTGCGTGCCGATTAAAACGGCATTCCTTGTTCCTGTTCCTGACTTGCAAGATGTTCGGCAGCAGGTGTTAGGCTAGAGGCCAGCCAGGAAAAGCAGAGCAGAGAGTGGAGAGACTAGTGACTAGGGAGAAAATGTGGAGAAAGGGTGGGGAAGAAAAGGAGGAGAACAAGCAATGAGCTGAGGCAAGGGCTGTGGGAAAATGAGGAGAGAGAGGCTAAAGAAAACAAATGGGGAGAAGTTCTGCAGCAAGTGGGGAATTCAGCAAGGAGCAAAATGGACAGAAGCACAGGGAGTAAGGGAAACATTCGATCTTCTTCCAATCGTCAGTTTTTTTGTTTTTTCCCTTTGCTCGCGCGCTTTGAGTATGTTGGGGGCTGACCCCACTGTAATAATGGAAAGGGTTTCTTCTCGGGGGTGCTGGAAACCTCAAAAGCGGGTGCCCAATTAGACCTGACAGCCTCGAAGTTGCAGGCGGCAAAAGCGGGGCAAGACCTGGCAGCAGTGCTTTGGTGGCTTGCCCGGCAGCTTGAGCTATGGTGTCCTTTTTCCCAAGTCACTATGCCGACCAAGAAACCCTTCCGATTTCCCTTGTGGTCCAGTTTTAGTCATGGCTCCAAAAGGTGAACGGTTTGGAGCTTGGCAATTCAGGAACCCCCTGCAAAGTTACGGTTGGTTGCTCGATTCACCAATGCCATAAGTAGGGAACAAGCAAAAGGTCACATAAAGTAGAGTTGATTCCACAATGTTCGCATGTGGAGCAGGGGGCCCCCGTAAGTTTCAATGATGTATTGCGGGTTCGTTGGCACAACTACGGAAATCCACCGCACCCTTGCGGCGGCTGCAGAAATGTGGGCCTGACGTGAAAATTGCCAGATATGCTTTGGCGGCTGATTCCTTAAGAGTGGCTGCGGGGTTACCTCCCAGCTTGTGAGGAGGGGGAGGAGAAGAAGAATAAACCCATGTGGGTCAACACCAATAGTACCATTTTGGGGTAGGTGCACCACCCATTTAGTCTGTTGTGGTGGGGATTGGGATGTTCACTGGGGGTACGGGATTTTGACCCATGGCCATATTAGGGACACCTTTCATTCCCCCTGGAATGCCTTTTTGGGATGGCCGGCCGTGAGGGATGCTGACATGGTTCGCTCATTGCACCCGTCGACGCGCCAGGCTTCTTACCCTCCCACCAACTAACACGGAAGTGCACAAACCCGAAAGTCGGCTTTCCGCGGGCCTGTGCACTTCCATGTTGGTGCATCAAGCATCACGCCGCAAGCATCAAAGAACCCGTTTAGCCGCTTAGCCATTGAGAAAAAGTCTTTGGGCGGCGTGCCTTTGGCAGGGTAGGGGCCATGTTCCAGACTCAAACCCCAAATGGCCAACACCATCAATACCATCAAAAAGGCAGCCGGGAATTGGCAGAGAAGGGTCCACCATACGGGCCCTTTTTCGGAGGAACTTGGCTAAGCTGTGATATGACGGAATCCTCCCCCCTGAAACGGAACCTTTGATTAATACGGTCCCATAAACCCGAATCCCAGTAACTCATGGGAGGCAATCTGGTCCTTGACACCGACCCCGCCCTTTTCTGCCGAGACTTACGCGCCAAGCGCCTGCGTCGAGAAGGGAAGCGTCAGCTGCCCATGGTCTTCTTCACTCATCGCCTGGAGCCAGAGAAAGCCGCCGGCTTCGTGACCAAGCGCCCAGACACCAACGCCTCGCAAGGGAAAAACGGTTTGAAGTGCACGTCCAAGTCCGGTTTCACGGTGGTTGTTGGGAAACATTTTACATGTTTGGTTTAGTGGTTGAAAGCCCAGAGAAACTGCTAAGATCTAGTTGTTTGCTCCCCTTCCAACATCAACCAAAGTTAAGCCACCCCCATGAAGTTCAGCCAAAGGGAATGGTCCAAGCTACTGTTTACTCCTGCAGCTGATTTGGTGTTGATGTGTGTCCCAATGCTCGGTACCTCCCTGTCGGTACCCGATGAATCAAAGGTTATCAAATACAATAAATTCTAAAGTGGTCCTAAAATCAACATGAAAGCTTCCATGTGCTTAAGAACATATACATTTGTTCAGGGGAATTTGATTTTGAAGGGAATCTGTCACTGAAATCTTGTTTGTTCTCCTTTTTTTTTTCCGGGGGGGTCTTCAGCAAATGGAAGAAAAGGGGCGTACCTAATACATGTGTCTTTCAGGACACAAACCCCGATCCGGCTATGTTCCAGCCCCTTGACAGCCCTGGTCTGCGCCTACTCTCTCTTCTCCTCGGTTCTTGTCCAGTAGTCCTTCCTGCTGAGCACAAAGGACCCCTGCCAACAACACCCATCCCCGAAGCTGCTGATTTCCTTACATCTCGAGTGTATAACAGTGCTCCGGCAAGAAATGTCCAAGGAGAAAGTGCCTGGCCACCCCAAACACTCAACAATAGAAATGACAAAGAGCTGCCCAAGTGTGCAACTCTCCAAAAAAGCCAAATCAATACTATACTAGTACTAAACCAGTGCTAATCAATACGAAGCCAGCACCAAGGCAGCACAAAGCAATACTAAGCCAATAGTAAACTAATGCACACCAATACTAAGCCAGTACTGAGGCAGCACAACGCAGTACCAAGCCAATACTATCAAAACTAGGCCAGTACTAAATACTAAGCCAGAAAGTACTATCTTGGGAATGGCAAGTCTGACCTTCAAATTGCTTTACCATGTCTTGCCGGTTTTCTCTATTGAGTCCCCCAAAAATTGTTTAGGGGACCTTTATTAATCAGTGACCCACATTCATGACATGGTTGCCCTTTGGGTGATCCTTTGTTCAAATTGTTTGCAGCTTTGGTGTTGTTGTTGGGCTTCAAGATCCGTTCGGCCCAGGTATCGCGACCTTCTGAAGACAGAGAAGGCTTGCAAGTTGAGCTGGTTTGCTCTCCCAGCTTTTTGTGCAGGTCCCCCATCATACATGCACATTTGGAGTATCAAATGGAGAAGGTTCAATAGCCGGCCCGCGTCAGTGCGCGAGAGAAAATTTTCCAGAGCCATGCCCAAAGACCAAGGGAGCCGCTGGGAAGCTGAAATTGGACAGCACAACTGTCAGCTCATAGGCTTAACAAGGGGCTAGGTAAGTGGGGGCTCTGATTCTTTACATCATGTTTGGCTTGCTCTGATTGTGACTGAACCACCGTGTCGAGGGTAAGACCTTTTTAGCCACGGACTCATTGGTCTGCGGGGGATGAGGCTTGCCTTGAAAGTGTTCCTGGAATTCCTCCAGGACCAAGAGTACATGTAAAAACGGCTACAAATGGTGGTGTTCCTTTTGAGTTTCCCTGAAGCTAAAACTGCACGGCCCCTTGTTTAAGCAACTCTCCTTCATTTCCCTGTAAAGGGGCCCAGCGCCTTTGAAAAAACTTTGCCCCACCCTGGTGCTCTTTCATCACTTGCATGTTGTGCAACCACGTGCGCTCCCTTCTTCCCACCCAATCGGGCGCGAGAGAGCGGGAAGCCTTTCGTGGCCACAGGACACGATGTCGGTGTGTGCCAATTGAGGAGAACTAGCCTGCCAGGAGATGTTTGCAGAAGAAGAGCAGATGTTCGCAGACAAGGACACCAAGTCCCAGATGGTCATCAGGCGGAATATTTTGACCCTGAGGCAGCAGCAGGCGCGGGGCTCAGATTTCCGCGTAGGCCATGTTGGTTGTGGTCTTACGCTGGGGACTGCACGCATAGGCCTCGAAAGGCTGTACACTTTGGCTTGGGCAAGCCAAGCAGTTCGGGTCTAGCGTCTTGCAAAAAATGTAAACCGTCAGATGGGTGAGCTTGGCGGAACGCGTTGGGCGCAACCTCATGCCCTTGACCCGTGTCTAGCTTTGAAAGACTGGTTTGGCAGCCATATGGCCATAAAGCTGTATGCCAAAGTGTACATATTTTAATATGTGTATATATATATAGGTGTATATATATATATATGTATGCAATGTAATGTAATGTAACGTAACGTAACGTAATGTAATGTAATGTAATGTAATGTATGTATGTAAGTATGTATGCATCTATTGTATGTATGTATGTAAGTATGCATGCATGCATGCATGCATGCATGCATGTATGTATGTATGTAATGCGTGTATGTATGTATCTATGTATGTATGTATGTATGTATGTATGTATGTGTGGATGTAATGTATGTATGTATGCATGCATGCATGCATGCATGCATGTAATGTATGTATGTATGTAAGTATGCATGCATGCATGCATGCATGTATGTAGTATGTATGTATGTATGTCATGTATGTATGTATGCATGCATGCATGCATGCATGCATGTATGTATGTATGTATGCAATGAAATGTATGTAATGTAATGTATGTAATGTATGCATGTATGTATAGAATATAATGTATGTCTGTATGTATGTAATGTATGTATGTATGTATGTATGTATGTATGTATGTATGTAATGTATGTATGTATTTATGCATGTATGCATGTATTAATGTAATGTAATGTAATGTAATATAATGTATGTAATGTATGTAATGTAATGTATGTAATGTATGTAATGTATGTATGTATGTATGTATTTATGCATGTATGCATGTATGTATGTATATAATGTATGTAATGTATGTAATGTATGTAATGTATGTAATGTATGTAATGTATGTAGTGTATGTAATGTATGTAATGTATGTATGTATGTATGTATGTATGTATGTATGTATGTATGTGTGTATGTATGTATGTATGTATGTATGTATGTATGTACGGTGTAATGTAATGTCTAATGTAATGTAATGTGCCTGTATGTAATGTATGTATGTATGTATGTATGTATGTATGTATGTGTGTATGTATGTAATGTATGTAATGTATATAATGTATGTATGTATGTATGTATGTATGTATGTATGTATGTATGTATGTATGTATGTATGTATGTAATATATGTATGTATGTAATATATGTATGTATGTATGTATGTATGTATGTATGTAT